GGAATGTGCAGGACAGCTGGGACCTAGTGTGCAGCACAGCGGGGACCTAGTGTGCAGGACAGCGGGGACCTAGTGTGCAGGACAGCTGGGACCGAGTGTGCAAGACAGCAGGGACCGAGTGTGCAAGACAGCAGGGACGGAGTGTGCAGGACAGCAGGGACCGAGTTTGCAGGACAGCTGGGACCGAGTGTGCAGGACAGCTGGGAGCGAGTGTGCAAGACAGCAGGGACAGAGTGTGCAGGACAGCGGGGACCGAGTGTGCGGGACAGCCGGGAACTGAATGTGCAGGACAGCTAGGACCAAGTGTGCAGCAAAGGGGGGACGGAGTGTGCAGGACAGCGGGGACCGAGTGTGCAGAACAGCGGGGATGGGATGTGCAGGACAGAGGGGACCCAGCGTGCAGGACAGCTGGGAAGGAGTGTGTAGGACTGCGGGGACCGAGTGTGCAGGAAAAGGGGAACGGAGTGTGCAGGACAGTGGGGACGGAATGTGCAGGACAGCTGGGACCGATTATGCAGGACAGTGGGGACGGAGTGTGCAGGACAGTGGGGACGGAGTGTGCAGGACGGCTGGGACCGAGTATGCAGGACAGTGGGGACGGAGTGTGCAGGACAGCGGGGACGGAGTGTGCAGGACAGTGGGGACGGAGTGTGCAGGACAGTGGGGACGGAGTGTGCAGGACAGCTGGGACCGAGTATGCAGGACAGTGGGGACCGAGTGTGCAGGACAGCGGGGACCTAGTGTGCAGGACAGCGGGGACAGGGTGTGCAAGAGAGCGGGGACCGAGTGTGCAGGACAGCTGAGACCGAGTGTGCAGGACAGCGGGGACCTAGTGTGCAGGACAGCGGGGACAGGGTGTGCAAGAGAGCGGGGACCGAGTGTGCAGGACAGCTGAGACGGAATGTGCAGGACAGCTGGGACCGAGTGTGCAGGACAGCGGGGACGGAGTTTGCAGGACAGCGGGGACGGAGTTTGCAGGACAGCGGGGACCGAGTGTGCAGGACAGCGGGGACAGGGTGTGCAAGAGAGCGGGGACCGAGTGTGCAGGACAGCTGAGACGGAATGTGCAGGACAGCTGGGACCGAGTGTGCAGGACAGCGGGGACGGAGTTTGCAGGACAGCGGGGACGGAGTTTGCAGGACAGCGGGGACCGAGTGTGCAGGACAGCGGGGACAGGGTGTGCAAGAGAGCTGGGACCTAGTGTGCAGGACAGCGGGGACCTAGTGTGCAGGACAGCGGGGACCTAGTGTGCAGGACAGCTGGGACCGAGTGTGCAAGACAGCAGGGACCGAGTGTGCAAGACAGCAGGGACGGAGTGTACAGGACAGCAGGGACGGAGTTTGCAGGACAGCTGGGACCGAGTGTGCAGGACAGCTGGGACCGAGTGTGCAAGACAGCAGGGACAGAGTGTGCAGGACAGCGGGGACCGAGTGTGCGGGACAGCCGGGAACTGAATGTGCAGGACAGCTAGGACCAAGTGTGCAGCAAAGGGGGGACGAAGTGTGCAGGACAGCGGGGACCGAGTGTGCTGAACAGCGGGGATGGGATGTGCAGGACAGAGGGGACCCAGCGTGCAGGACAGCTGGGAAGGAGTGTGTAGGACTGCGGGGACCGAGTGTGCAGGAAAAGGGGAACGGAGTGTGCAGGACAGTGGGGACGGAATGTGCAGGACAGCTGGGACCGATTATGCAGGACAGTGGGGACGGAGTGTGCAGGACAGTGGGGACGGAGTGTGCAGGACGGCTGGGACCGAGTATGCAGGACAGTGGGGACGGAGTGTGCAGGACAGCGGGGACGGAGTGTGCAGGACAGTGGGGACGGAGTGTGCAGGACAGTGGGGACGGAGTGTGCAGGACAGCTGGGACCGAGTATGCAGGACAGTGGGGACGGAGTGTGCAGGACAGCGGGGACGGAGTGTGCAGGACAGCGGGGACGGAGTGTGCAGGACAGTGGGGACGGAGTGTGCAGGACAGTGGGGACGGAGTGTGCAGGACAGTGGGGACGGAGTGTGCAGGACAGTGGGGACGGAGTGTGCAGGACAGTGGGGACGGAGTGTGCAGGACAGTGGGGACGGAGTGTGCAGGACAGCGGGGACGGAGTGTGTAGGACTGCGGGGACCGAGTGTGCAGGAAAAGGGGAACGGAGTGTGCAGGACAGTGAGGACGGAATGTGCAGGACAGCTGGGACCGAGTATGCAGGACAGTGGGGACGGAGTGTGCAGGACAGCGGGGACGGAGTGTGCAGGACAGCGGGGACGGAGTGTGCAGGACAGTGGGGACGGAGTGTGCAGGACAGTGGGGACGGAGTGTGCAGGACAGTGGGGACGGAGTGTGCAGGACAGTGGGGACGGAGTGTGCAGGACAGTGGGGACGGAGTGTGCAGGACAGTGGGGACGGAGTGTGCAGGACAGCGGGGACGGAGTGTGTAGGACTGCGGGGACCGAGTGTGCAGGAAAAGGGGAACGGAGTGTGCAGGACAGTGGGGACGGAATGTGCAGGACAGCTGGGACCGATTATGCAGGACAGTGGGGACGGAGTGTGCAGGACAGTGGGGACGGAGTGTGCAGGACAGTGGGGACGGAGTGTGCAGGACAGCGGGACGGAGTGTGCAGGACAGTGGGGACGGAGTGTGCAGGACAGTGGGGACGGAGTGTGCAGGACAGTGGGGACGGAGTGTGCAGGACAGTGGGGAAGGAGTGTGCAGGACGGCTGGGACCGAGTATGCAGGACAGTGGGGACGGAGTGTGCAGGACAGCGGGGACGGAGTGTGCAGGACAGTGGGGGCGGAGTGTGCAGGACAGTGGGGACGGAGTGTGCAGGACAGTGGGGACGGAGTGTGCAGGACAGCGGGGACGGAGTGTGCAGGACAGTGGGGGCGGAGTGTGCAGGACAGTGGGGACGGAGTGTGCAGGACAGTGGGGACGGAGTGTGCAGGACAGCGGGGACGGAGTGTGCAGGACAGTGGGGACGGAGTGTGCAGGACAGTGGGGAAGGAGTGTGCAGGACGGCTGGGACCGAGTATGCAGGACAGTGGGGACGGAGTGTGCAGGACAGCGGGGACGGAGTGTGCAGGACAGTGGGGGCGGAGTGTGCAGGACAGTGGGGACGGAGTGTGCAGGACAGTGGGGACGGAGTGTGCAGGACAGTGGGGACGGAGTGTGCAGGACAGCCTGGACGGAGTGTGCAGGACAGTGGGGACGGAGTGTGCAGGACAGTGGGAACAAAGCTCGTAACATGTAACTCTATTCTCATTACCTCCGCTCAAAACTTTACAATTATCAGCAATAAACTGCATCTGCCAATCTTTTGACCATTTCAAAACCCTATTTAGATCGTCCTGAGGTGATATTGAGTCTTTTTCCTTGTTTATTTACCTCCCGAGTTTTGTATCATTGGCAAATTTGCAAATGTTGCTGGTCAAATCTGAACCTAAATCATTTATATATATTATGAATAACAGAGGTCCCAGGACAGAGCCTTGAGGCACTTACAACAATTTTCCCAGTCTGACTTAATTCCATTTAAACTAACTCACGGTTTCCTTTGTTTAGCCTTGCCCTAATTCAACTTAATATAGTGCCCTCAATACCATGAGTGGCGTTTAAACTAGTAATACTGATCCAAGAGCTAGAGCCTCCAAAAATACATTAGTTAACCCTAGCAATGTCTCGCATCAAGAAGGGGAGGGGTAACCGGAAACCGCACCTGGGCCGCATGATTAATCACCCTCATCCGTCAGTCACCCTTCAATCATCCATCTCCCGCATGCCTTCCTGTTCTCAGAAATGGTGAGGACCCTCGTTGTCGTCTCTCTCAAGGTAACGGGTCACCCACTTCTGGGACACGCACATGCCTAATTCACGATCAGTGGGCGATTAATCACGCTCATACGTCAGTCATCCATCTCCGCTGATGGTGAGGACCCTCGTAGTCGCAAATTTTCCCTACTTCTATGATCGCTGTGGTAGTGAACTAACTAATCTGTGATCGCTGTGGAAGTGAACTAACTAGTCTGCAATCGCTGTGGTAGTGAATTAACTTGTAATGGCTTAAGAGAACATTAATGCTCCTCTATTTTTCTATAATGAAAATCATGAGAGCTGTTTTTAGCGATATCAGATATAAATTCCCTGTAAACTCACCAACACCTTTCTTCTAAGATATCAGTATTATTCAGCTGACGTGAACAAGTACATGTTTAGTGTTCCATGTATACTTCATTAGTTATTATTTTGTAGAGAATAGAATAAACAGTCAATCATTTAATTTACATATTGATGTTAACATTCTTAAGTGTAAAGCGTTCCCAATATATATAACAGCGAGATAAATGTTATAGTATTTTACCTCCAGTATACAAGTGTGGTGTGAGGTATAACCCAATGTTGTATTCCTCCAGGGTGACTCAAGAGATCCACTTTACCTCCAGTATACAAGAGTGGTGTGACGTATAACCAATGTTGTATTCCCCCAAGGTGACTCAGATGGTCCACTTTTACCTCCAGTATACAAGAGTGGTGTGAGGTATAACCATTGTTGTATTCCCCCAGGGTGACTCAGAGGTCACCTTTTACCTCCAGTATACTAGAGTTATGTGAGGTATAACCAATGTTTTATTCCCCCAGGGTGACTCACGAGGTTAACTTTTACCTCCAGTATACAAGAGTGGTGTGAGGTATAACCCAATGTTGTATTCCTCCAGGGTGACTCAGATGGTCCACTTTTACCTCCAGTATACAAGAGTGGTGTGAGGTATAACCATTGTTGTATTCCTCCAGGGTGACTCAGATGGTCCACTTTTACCTCCAGTATACAAGAGTGATGTGAGGTATAACCAATGTTGTATTCCTCCAGGGTGACTCAGAGGTCACCTTTTACCTCCAGTATACAAGAGTGGTGTGAGGTATAACCATTGTTGTATTCCTCCAGGGTGACTCAGAGGTCACCTTTTACCTCCAGTATACTAGAGTGATGTGAGGTATAACCAATGTTTTATTCCCCCAGGGTGACTCAGGAGGTCCACTTCTATACATCAACTCAGCTGGACGTTACACCTTGACTGGGATTGTATCACAGGGATATGGCTGTGGGAAGAAGGACTTCCCGGGCCTTTATGTCAACATCCGCAAGCCGCAGTACCTGGCCTGGATCAAGAAGGTCGCCTTTTAAGTCTCCTGTGGCCTCACAGATACTCCTAGCTGACTCTGGCCTCACAGATACTCCCAGCTGACTCTGGCCTCACAGATACTCCCAGCTGGCTCTGGCCTCACAGATACTCCCAGCTAACTCTGGCCTCACAGATACTCCCAGCAGATTTTGGTCTCACAAATACTCCCAGCTGACTCACACTCAACCTCTTTGTTCCACTCATTCTCTTATGACGTCTGCCGCTTGCTCCAGTTGCTCACAGGTTTTGACTTCTATTACAGAAAACTGTGATAAAAATTATTGTGGTTATTGATATTAGTTTGTGAACAATTATTATGTGTTAAAGACTTTAATGCCAAATTCTATAAATTGTCTGTATTTGTTATAGAATTGATTACAGACTTGACTGAAAACCAATATTGTAACATGATGCACAATATAACAAACACAATCATGCCCAAGATACACAACATAATCATTAACAAGATACCCAACACAATCATGCCCAAAGATACCCAACACAATCATGCACAATATACCAAACACAATCATGCCCAAGATACACGACATAATCATTTACAAGATACCCAACACAATCATGTCCAAAGATACCCAACACAATCATGCACAACATATCAAACACAATCATGCTCAAGATACCCAACACAATCATGCTCAATACACCCAACACAATCAGGCACAATATATCCAACAAAATCATGCTCAAGATACCCAAAACAATCATACACAATATACCCAACACAGTCATGCACAAGATATCTAACGCAATCATGCACAAGATATCCAACATCAATCATGTACAACATATCTAACACAGTTTTGGGAAAATCTGGCTCCAAGATATTGATAATAAATCTCCTAAATAATTCGAAGGACAACCCTTTAGAAACAGGGAAATAAAATTGGAGAACCAGTGCCTCTGATATAAGTGTTTATATGGATCTCTTTTATAAGTGTAATTGAAAAACTATTAATATAAATTAGTGAACTGAAATTTATAGTAAAATATAAAGCCACACACTCTCCACACACTTTGGTGGGTTGATTAGAACACAGAATCTAATGCATTTAAAGTACAACTAAAGAGATGCTAATGCACATCCTATATAAAAATAATGAGATACTAATGCATACAAATAATAAACTAATGAGATACTAATGCGTATCAATAATAAACTAATGAGATACTAATGCGTATCAATAATAAACTAATGAAATACTAATGCGTATCAATAATAAACTAATGAGATACTAATGCGTATCAATAATAAATTAATGAGATACTAATGTGTATCAATAATAAATCTCGTGGATAAATAATATGCAAATAAGTGAATTAATTAAAACTCAATAATAAAGATTAACTATCTACAAATACAACTGAAAATGTCTCGGCTGTTTCATAGGAACGGAGATTGCGTCCAGCCTCTACAACGCGTTGAAACCAGCCCTGAGATAGTAATCCTTGGTATCGTGATCATGGAAACAGTAACACATCTTCCTCGGTTGAACTACCAAGCTGAAACATAAAACTTCTATAATTTCCCCTTCAACTTAGTATTCAAGCATTTAAACGCAATATCTGAAATAATTGGATGGGTAAAAGCTTTACTCACATGGGTGTTATAATTTTGCCTGCAGCATCACGTCAGGGAATCTCCAGTATACAAGTATTCATTTAATGTTCAGTATGGAGGGAAATCTCTAAAAGTCTACAGCAGAATCAAGGACTAGTGTCGCTATGACGTGTAATGGTTGAATTGATTAGTCACTGAATTATTCTGCAGACTCAGAAAATATTCTCAATAACAGATGGCAAGTATACATTGAACTCAAAAACATACAAATAAGGATTACCGCCCTGCCGAAAATGGTGTTCGCGAGTTAAGTAAGCTGCGCCCTTAATTTGAAGTCCTTGGAAGTACGGATGCATGCAGAATCGTAAGATAATTGTCAGGCCACTTCGGAACACCTTGCTGGTAGCTAGTAAATATGCCAAGAGTGTCCTTCCTCTCCGGTGGCGCATGCTCAATAGATCCCAAGGCTGGGATCCCGAGTATAAATTCTAATATTCATTTAATGTTCAGTATGGAGGGAAATGGATTTGACGTATATTTACGTCATAAATAAATGTATTATTCGGTAACATATTTTCTCGTAGTGAATGTCAATTAATTTAGACTATGTTAATTTAAATGAACGAGAAAGATTAGAGTGGCAATTTTGGCTTATCATTTCATTCACTGGGACAGCTAATCGTAGCTGAATAAATTGTTTGCCGTAAACGAATGTATATACTAACTATAGGTAAAATTATTAATAAACGATTATCCTTAATAAAGGAAGGTAAATGAAGCTGGATTCTACTTGATACATTAATAAGTGGAAAATATTCCTAGTGCCTAACTGGCTGACACAACACGGCCATGAATACTGGGAACTTTTGGCAGAAGTGCGCATTAACAAAATAACATTAATTTCTCTACTGATTAGTAATTAAGTGTTGGAAATTTCCAACACAGTTCCGGAGGAAGAAAACACGGGTCGCAGTTCATTGTTAAGTACTGACGTACCTGTTCCTCTTCCCTGAGGTTATATTCATTACTTATTTGTTAGTATGTGCAGAACGGATGTCCAATATCTGTGTAACAGATATGACATTAATTTTTATGGAAACATAAATTAATGTTGAAAATATTAAATGATTAAGTCATCTAAAATCAAGAAATCTCTAATCTAAAGTCTACAGCAGAATCAATGAGTAGTTTCGCTATGATGTGTAATGGTTGAATTACTTAGTCACTGAATGGTTCTGCAGACTAAGAAAATATTCTCAATAACAGATGGCAATGATCTACAATTAGGCAGAATGAAATACATTATAATGATTACTATTATATTATTTACATTAACTAAAGAATGGAAAGTATTAATCATTGTGTTATTCAAGATCAAGGAGACTTCGAAACTACAGTGATGTCACTGTCTAGGGTCACTGTGACTTGTAACTGTTGAGGTACTAAACAATAATTCATCACTGAAGCATCATGATCACCTCAAACTCAAACGAGGAGTTGTTTGCACTTAGGCATAATTAAATATGACTTACATTTGCACTGTGGTGCAGTAGTCGTTTTAGACTAATAATATACAACTAAGTTGCTAACGTTGCTAAATGTGATTTAATATTAGAGAACTGAACATGTTTATTCATTAAAATCAAGGAAGACTCTGAGTCGACAATGAAATCAGTAGCTTAGTCATTGTGACTTGTAGTTAATTGAATTATAGCTCACTGGCTAGTCACAGAAGATTCATTAATTCATCCTCAACTTTAAATGAGAAATTATTATATTCATTTAAATCAGTCTCTATTAATAGTTAACTATATTTATTTGTGATCACGGACTCGGCTGATACTCTGATGACACTAACTAATGTCCCTTAATATCCACCTAAATAGAGGGTTTTAATTTTCCCTAAGCCTACCTAAGTAGAGAGCTATGCTAATTGTGATAATTTACTCTTTCTTTGGTAGTGTCACCTTAGCTAAATGGTGAGCGGTTAAGCTGCTTGTTTGTGAATACATTAAGTTACAGTGTTATAGCCCCTCTTGAGACTTAACAAACACCTAACTTAAAGTTAATTATGAGTAATAGTGCCTACTCGGTTTATATGTATTGGGCTACAAAACTAGAGTCCTTTTGAGACTGAACAAAGCATGTAGCTTAAGGAATTTCATAATGAGCAATAATGCTTGCTTAGGTTATAATTATTAGGCTACGATGCTATAGTCCTCTAGAGACTTTAACGAAGTACAGTCTAAAAATTATCAGTGAGCAGTGGGAACTGCTCGATTAACACTTGGTAAATTACAATACTATAATCTTCTAGAGGTATAACTAGGTAGAGAATAAATTGAGGATTCATGGTGAGCAGTAATGCCAGCTCCTATTAAGCATTTAAATTTTGCCCCGAGGGGCGAGTGTGAGAGTTTAGTGACTTGATTAGTGGGAATAAATAAAATTGGTATAAGGAATTGAGCTCGGAAAATTTCTAAGAATTTTCTTTATTCTTTAACCTTTATTCCTGTTGTGATATTCAATTAGGTCGCCTGAGGAAGGACTTGCTTAGCTAACACACCAGTGTAGTAAGCAGCTCATTCCTCACTTTGGGACCATATATGAACAATTGACTAGGCGCAAACAAACGCCGAGAACCCAATAAAAATTGAAATCCCCCCCTCTTAGGTCGCATTCACTTCGCCATTCGCCGAAGTGAATCTAACGAGTAGGTCCTGGGCTCTCACAACAATAATTTATTGTTGTGTGGTGCCGTATATTTGGTCCAAAACTCAGAATCAGTCTCAATTTCATTAGTCAAGTGTGAAGAACACTTGCATAACAATTATAATGTGTGGGATGTAACGAAAAGACAGTGTTAAACATAACAACTTAGTTTATTCAATAAAGTACTAACTACTACAACAAAACAAAAAGAAATATCAATGACGTTACTCGAAATCCTTCCTGTGACACTATCAATGACAGCTAGACACCAGCCCCTCGGACTGCATAATGAACTAACTCGAACATAAGCGTGAACACACGAATCAACAAGAAACAAGAACTAACAGATCCATAATCACAATTACATCAAATGACACATTGGGTTCTGGAACACGTCTCCAGTAACCTCCTACTGTTCTACGCCTCAGTGCAGTTTTACACCTGCAATGGCGGTTGCAATGCAATCAAATCAGTAGTCTTTCAATGACAACAATGACTAATGGGTTCACTGGCAACTCCAACAACCCTTCCTCAAATTAATCCTTACGTTGTTGATCGTCCGTTCCACGGACGATCAACAATCAATAACAATTGATTTACGTTAATAAGAAAATAACATTTACGTTAATTTAATAACTCTTACAACTGTCACTAGTAACACGGAAATTACACAACACTCTACCCGTCGAGCATTCAGTGAGAAAATCCCATTAATCCCTGTACTACCAGACAGCTGATTAATTTCTTTACTAGTTACGTTAATTTACGTTAATCGGTTACTACTCACTCAGCGATGGTAAACTCTGATTTACAATGTTCAACGTGCTAAGAGAACGGTAATCACTCGTGATTACCTTTAGAGTAATTAATTACTATCTTCAAGATAAAACATTAAACAATTAAATACGCAACCTTTCACACTGGCTCAGCAATTTATATTAAGGTATGAATTCCGTCTGAGCCTTCCATACTCAGACCAATTCAGGTGGTTAATAACAGTAATTAAGCACCACGTTTACGTTATTCTAAAATGACGTTACTCCTCCCACGAGTCAATGAAGTGCCGGTACTTCCGGACAGATAAATAACGACGTTACATTAATGAAACAATGGAGCCCTCGTGTGAGTCGATCAAACAAGGATCGAGGTTATTTACTTTGACTTCCTGAAACACGTCAATTACCCGGCCCACTGACCGTTAATTACGACAGACAATACTCTAATTCTTATCTGGGTGATGGCTAGGCTCCTTGAGACTACCGTAGCTGCTTGCAGGACAGTAAATTAACCCAAACGTATTCTACGTTACTCAAATTGTCAAAGAACATATTCTCTTAAAGCAATGGGCGTTCCCTTGGTTACGTTATATTGATTGACTCGCAATCACCTCACTGAATACTGGACTTCGATGTCTTACCAGATAAACAGGAGAATATAAAACCCAAGTACTCGTCTACAGCCGAGTTCATCCACGACAGTGACAAATCACACTAACAAATCACAGTGATTTACGTTACAATCCGGTTGCAATGACAATACTGCAGAACCTAGTAAAATAACATACAGGACATGAACCCTCTAGAACACTGCCCCACAATGACTTTACTAAACTGCAATCACATACGGTGATGCTCAACACTAGCAACAATCACCATCAAATAACAACTCCTTTGCAATAACACACACGGCAAGTACTCTAATTTCCAAGTATTAGAATACTGAACAACACATACTTTGCAAATGACCAACAGTGCTCTCATTACCCCTTAGAACATAGGTCCACAATTTGCAATCACCACAGTAAATAACACAATAACACTGGGCACTGTGTCACTACGATGCTATATATATATATATATATATATATATATATATATATATATATATATATATATATATATATATATATATATATATATATATATATATATATATATATATATATATCAATCAATATAACGTATATATATATATATATATATATATATATATATCAATCAATATAACGTATATATATATATATATATATATATATATATATATATATATATATATATATATATATATATATATATATATATATATATACGTTATATTGATTGATATATATATATATATATATATATATTATATATATATATATATATATATATATATATATATATATATATATATATATACATATATATATTGGTGTATACTGGCAGCAGGTTTTCTTTCAAACATGTTTCATTGAATATGACCGCATATTCTGTATTTATTATTTTCTGGTTTAGGGCTTCTATCCCTCTAACTATTTTCTTAGCATCAAGGCTTAATTGAAATAGGAGTTCTCCAAAACTCATTTTCGTACTTTTAAGGTGAAGAAAAGAAGTGATTTACTATAGAGTGTATTACACTTATTTGTATAATTTGCACGACGTTTCGAACCTCCATGGTTCATTCTCAAGTGAACAGATCTTACAATACTAGTTGATTTTATACCCGCATTAGGTCAGGTGATAATACAATGAAGGTGAAAACACGGGGGGATACATAAGGGATAAACATAGGGGCTGCAGAAGGCTTATTGGCCCATACGAGGCATCTCCTATCTAAACACAAAGATTAATCCAGTGTAATTGGCCTGTTATGTTGGACATTGTCTTCTGTGTTGGCATCGATATGTTCTTGTCTTGTCCTTACTCTCATGGTGGGTAGAGTAAATAGTTCCGTGATTTGGGTGTTCATGGTAGGTCGCTCTATTCTTATGTGAATTGCCTCAAGAATTTGTAATCTTCTTGAATCTTGGGTTTTGTCTATTATGCAAGTATTCTTGTTCAACATTTCTCTTGTTAGAGTAATGTCATGGGCTTGTCTCATGTGATTCCTAGGGGCACCAGATTGAAGATGGCATGTCAAACGCCTCGTCAGCTTGGTCGACGTCATACCTATGTACTTACATTGAAGGTTACATCCTTCGTGGGGGCAAGTGTACATGTATACAACGCTTGACTGCTGTAGAGGGTTCTCCGTCGGCTTCGGGCTGTTTTTGATAAGGAGTTCGGAAGTCTTCTTGGTTTTGTAGAATATTATCAGGTTTATGTTTTGGTTAGGAGTAGTGCTTTTTACTCCTTTACGAATTATTTCTTTCATTATTCTTTCCTCTTTTATATGTTCACTGTGCATGGTTGATTTGTAATATAATTTTATTGGGGGTGTTGTGGTTTCTGTTCTAGGTTCTGAATTATACCAACGGTCCAAGTGTCTTCTTATAGCAGCGTTTATTTCCGCGTTGCTATATCCGTTGTTCACCAATACCTGAGTTACTCTTTCAAACTCTCTACTCACGTTGCTCCATTCAGAGCAGTGGGTA